ATATATATATATATATATATATATATATATATATATATATATATATATAATTCAAACAATTAATTAAGTGAAATTACATACAGTGCTCAATATCCTGAGGATAGAGTTGCAAATAATGTAATGATATTATTTTTATTTTATTAAAATGTTACAAACATATGCAAAGTAATCCATATGTGCTTTGACAGAACTAACCGTAACTTTTAGTAAGATATATGCTAGTCATGTTTTAACAAGACCTAAAAATACGATATTACACTATATATATATATATCCAAATGTAAAAGAATGAAGAGTAAGACTTCAGCATTCAAAACTTTAATTTAAAACAGGGCTCAATACAAAAGTAGAGCAATAAATATTTATTTATTATGCAGTGTTACATTAGAACATGCACATACCCACTACAAAACTGTACATCTTGTTTCAACGTTAAAAAGATTTTTTAATGTTTCATCTGGTGGGAAATCATGATGTTACCTAATTAAAAAAATTTTAATGTTGAAACAAGATGTACAATTTTGTAATGGGTATGTGCATGTTCTAATGCAAAACTACGTAATAAATAAATGTATATATATATATATATATATATATATATATATATATTCATACATGTTTCATTAAATAATATAGACAAGTGTTGTCTATTTATTTTATGTAAATTCTTTTCATAACGTCTGATAAGTTTAATAACATTATCATTAAACGAAGAAAGAAAATCACAATATTGATCCATATTTTTTAATCCAATCTAAGCTATCAGCTTACATAAGCCATTATCAAAGATGTCAATTACAGTACAACATAGACTATCATCACTGTCTTGTCCGTATATTGCTTAATATGTTGTACTGTAATTAACATTACAGATGAATCAAATATTTGTAATCTATATAATTTGTGCTAATCATATGGAGGCATATATATATATATATATATATATATATATATATATACACACATTTAGCTATGCATATGGGTACATATATATTATGTTATAATATATATATAATATTCATATACATACATGTATATTTTATTCAAGCATAATATATATATATATATACACACACCTTTAGCTATGCATATGGGTATATATATTGTATGTTATATATATATAATATTCATATATGTACATGTATATTTTATTTAAGCATAATATATATATATATATATATATATATATATATATATACTTTTAGCTATGTATATCGGTATATATATATATTGTATATTATAATATATATATAATATTCATATATGTACATGTATATTTTATTTAAGCATAATATATTTATATATATATATATATATTGCCATACAAATGTATGTATGTGTCATTTTTTTGTTTGTTTTGTTTTTGTTTTGTTTTTGTTTTTTTGTTTTTTTTCTTGTTACAACCACAGTTCTGATAACTTGCAGTTAATACCTGTACCTTAAACTAAACCACTACTCCCACTTACCTGCCTCCTGGACTGTTACCTTTGACCTATCATCAACCAAATTATTTAACCACCTTTCCCAGTAACAAACCTCACCCAACTCTTAGTTGCTTGTTGTCTGTCACCTCTAGCTGTGAGCTCCAGTCCAATGGACGAACCTGCTCTATACTTAGCCAGTGAGAAATGTCTTTGTGGTATGCTGTCGTACAATTGTTCATGTTGTTATATTTGTTATTGGTCAATCTCTCACACCAAGCCTTGACTGTCCTGCCACCTGGTGAGCGAATACTGATGAAAAGCTAGCTCACTGCCAGACACTGTCCACTACATCTCTGGGCATCACTTAGGGGACTCAAGCTATTTACTTTCGCTGCTGTTAGCCTGCAAGTTACCAAGAGTGGGACTATTGGAACGTATGTTACTCCCATCCACTACCACCTGGCCAAAATACTGAAAGAAAGAAAAACAAAGAAAAAATGCACAAAGCAAAGCTTGGGATATTTATTTGCAAGAGACAACAAAATTGACCGGTTGCTCAATCAAAAGCCGATTGTGAACCAACTGACCACTAAAGAACATACACACTCTGACATCATATACTTAAGTAGCCATTCTCTTACCAAAGCAGTTTACAATTTTTCTTTTATTTTTTTTGTTTGATGTTGACTCTTTTTTTCTTTTTCTTAATTTCATCGCAGTCCAAGGAAAAGGTCACATGATTAGGCAATATTTGCTGATAAAAAACACAACCAAATCCACATTCCTACCAAATGTAGTCTAGACCAGATTCACATCCACCAATTACTGCTGTCCCCTTTTATTCATCTCATCTTTTTTGGCTTGAGTCTTTGTCAGCCACGACTGGTGATTATTTTTTTGGTCAGTGCTAGCAAGCTTTTCTAAAGAAGAAATAAAAAAAAAAGAAAAAGAAAAAGATTTGCACTGGCAATAAAGCACAGACCCCCAGAAAGAGAAAGTGTTTGTGGTCTCACTTGGTAAAAACTTGCATTTTCGATTACGATTATATTATTCTTGCATTTGGTTTAGTTGTTGATTCCCTGAGAACTGATAACAATGGAGATTCTGCAGAATTGTCCATGGACAGGAGATTGTCATTTGCCAAAAGGAGATATCTTCGAAGGTAAAACAACTTTACTTTGGACTGCCCCAGGATAAAAACCAAAATGTTTTTTGCTTTGCCAATGGAAGTGTGTATAATTCAATCTATATATGCATCCTTCTATGTATTTATCAATATACATATGTATACATGCAATTATATGTGCATATGCACTCAATAATAAATGCATATTTAGTTTGTGTGTATATATATGTTTGTATGTGTGTGTGTTTGTGTGTGTGTCTTTTAATCATAGTGCATATATGTGTGTATTGACTGTGCATATATATTTCTATGTGTGTATATATAAATATATATCTATAAATGATAGTTTCAGCATATATACACACATATATATATATATCAGTTTGTGTATATATGCATGCATGTGTAATTTATAGCTTGTGTAAATATATATATATATGTGTGTGTGTGTGTGTGTGAGATAGCTTGTATATATTTATTTCTATATGCATATACAAGCCAATATGTATAAAGATCTGTCTTAATATCTATCTATCTCTCTATATATATACATATATATTTCATTGAACAAAACTGATAAGATACTTTTGTTTCGTTTTTTATTAAGCATTTAAATTCACCAATAGAAACACAATATATCTTTCTCACTAATACACAAAATGTCTGTTGTCTTTAATATATATATATATATGTGTGTGTCTATTTACACAGGAATCTTTCTTTAATACACTGTTCATTGAAGAAGACTCATAAGATATATTTGGTTAATTTTTTTTATTATGCTTTTGTCTTATATCTACAAGTGTCATCTTTTCAGTATTTGATTAATGTTTTTTTTTTTTTTGGTTCTAAGCAGTTTCAGCTAAGTCCTGAATAGGAGGCTCTTTTATGGATACAAGAAAAACATAGTGAAAAAACTAAACAAACATACCTTATCAGTCTTGTTCAGTGAACCATATATTAACACATTGACTGCTAACTCACTGTTAGCAGTTTCTACTATGACACCTACGGCGAGTTATCTCATGCCAATAAGTTTATTCGATTCACAGTGATATTCTTAGTGTGAAAATAATGTTAAGATTTCAGTTAAAGTTTAAATCAACTCATAAAATATTTTATAGCTTAAGTTGGACATTATAAAGTTATCATTTCAAGTCAAATTTTGTAATTGACCATTAGCAGTTGATGTGCTCAAATATACAACATATATATATATATATATATATATATATATATATATATATATTATATACAAAGAACAATTTATTTATTAAAAGACATTTTTTATTTTAACGTTCTTTTTTTATAGATACAAGTATTTAAGTAAATGCTCTGTTTATAATAAACAGTATTAAATAACATTTACCAGCCTGAATGTCCGAGAAATTTTCATAGGACGAATATTTTCTGAAAATTTCTCGGACATTCAACCGGTAAATGTTATTTAATACTGTTTATTATAAACAGAGCATTTACTTAAATACTTGTATCTATAAAAAAGAATGTTAAACATAAAAATGTCTTTAATATATATATATATATAATGGAACTCTCTTCTGGTTTTTTGCTACCCAGGCAACTTATATCTTCAGAAATTTAAATGCAATGTCAATCATTATCTTCTGCCTTCTTAATTCTTGTTCTTTTGTCCTCTCTCCTTAATATTATATTTTTCTTACATTTCTAACACTCAGTGTCTTGTGTCTTATTGGTTTTGTTGCCTTCCTTGGGGTGAAAAGATTAAAAAAATATATATATATATATATATATATATATATATATATATATATATATATGTGTGAATAAAATATGAAAAAAAGTTAAAAGGAAAACTTTTCTTTACCAATGAGTTTTGACCTATCAAGATAATGTTCATCAGGCGACAAAACATGTTGGCAAAAAAAAACTGCCCCTTTCAATTTGTTCATAATGTCTTGTTACAGATATATTCTATTTATATTGGAATTTTTACACACACACACACACATTAACTGGGCCATACATATGTATATGTATATATTACTGAGAGAGTGATATTATATTTCAATTGGTGTGTTTATATGCTTACATACAAACAAAGATATATGTCAGGGCATTGAAGTGTGTGTGTGCTTGGCTGAAGAGTTTTATTTTTCCTTAGGCTAGAAAGAATAAGGCCTCACATATGCAACCTCTTTTACCAGAAAATAAATTCATTTACATTACACCAAACCCAACACTAATATTATATCTCTTCAAACACACACACACACACACACACACACACACTAAATATGTAGAAATATCAATACAGAGCTACATAAATAATGTTTATAACTGTCACCAAAATAGACTAATAGACTAGTGAATATATAAATAAAACTGGGATAGATATTAACAGACATAAACACATAAACACACAGAATTTTACTGACATAGACCAAATTTGAAAATTTTTGTGAGTACAGACTTACTGCTCCTCGCTTATCTATCTATCTATCTATCTATCTATCTATCTATCTATCTATCTATCTATCTATACACATTTCATTAAACATGACAGACAAGGTGCTTTTATTTAGTTTTTTATACAATTTCTTATGCGATCTAATAACTTTTTTCTTTTCGGATGATAAATTATATAAAAACTGTCTGAATGCTTTTTTTTTTGAGCGCTTTCGGCTATACATTCAGCTATTTTCAAGGATTAAATATTTTAACTGTTAAATAAGAAATAGTTTGTTGTATTTATGTTTCATAAAATGTTTTCATTTTTCAAAACATGGTCAAGATATTGTGTCCATGTTCAAAGTTAATTTTATTGAGTATTGGTTTTTTGTTTTTTATTAATAAGGCTTCCATTATTTTTAGCCTTTTTTTGCATGTAGATGATGCTATTATATTTGTGTTGTCAACAATTATGTTACAAATAGTGTCCAGCAGGTCTCCATGAATATTCGGACAGTTTTTATATAATTTATCACCCAAAAAGAAAAAAATTATTAGATTACATAAGAAATTGTATAAAAAAATAAATAAAAGCACCTTGTCTGTCGTATTCAATGAAATGTGCATGAAAGAATGATTGCTGCCTAAATACAAGTTTTAAATATATATATATATATATATATATATATATATATATATATATATATATATATATATATATATAAAGAGTGGTCACTGAGGTGAACACTATGAGTTAACAGTTTATTTCCTACTTGAATGCAATCCTCAGGCTTGAAGATTGTATTCAAGCATGAAACAGACTGCTGCTGCTTGGTATTGAACTCAGTGTCCACCCTGATACTTATGCACACTTTATCCTGGATATTGAGTACTTTTACTTATACATATAGCTTATCTTATCATTCATATATATATATATATATATATATATATATATTTTAATAAATTCACCCCAAACAAGGTGATAATGCCACTAAGAAGCAAGGGTCTACTGGGAGTAAAAGAGAATGAAAAAGATTTAAAAGGTACCAGAAACCCAGTCCTAAATAAGAAACAACAGATCAACCTCTAGTCCTTTTCAAAAGAACATGGAGGAGTGTGAACTGAGTTTTCTACTCCTACTGAATATATATATATATATATATATATATATATATATGGTATATTTATACTGTAATTCTTACTTTATATCCAATTTGTTGAATGTGTTGTATAAGGAAAGTTTTTATTTAGTTTTTCTAGTGTCTGTGCAGTTTTCTTTAGTGAGGACATGTGTAGAAACTGCCTATAGTAATTATTCCCCTGAGAACTTTCAGCTAATTCTTTAGCCATTTTCAGGGTGGTGGGGTTTTGGTTAATTCTCATTATTAGCATATTTTCGTGCTTGTAGTCTACGGTGCATTGTACTCTTACTACTCCGACAGTAAAAATATAGTAACAACAAAAATTCACTGTGTCCCCCAATTAGAAAAAGAATTAACTAAAAGCACTTAGGACAATAATCCCCATGGACAAATTCTACACACTCTTCCTCATTAAAGGATAAGCTGTAAGATGTGAGAAAAACTGAATGAAAATCATACAAAATTTTCTTTCTCTGTCACATTCAACAAAACATTGTTTCTTAGCCCTATAAATTTTATTTTTATTGGGTACATGTTTCAATTGCAAGCTCTGTTTTTTATTTAATTAAACAGTGTAATTAATAACAACTGCTATAGAATTTAGAAGTGCTATTAAAGAAAAATTGTGTCTGCAACATGAATCAAACCTGCATCCTTTTTTTCCATCAGGGAAACCACTTTTTGAGCCAAAGTGTGCCTCTACAAGTTCAGCCATGGAGCTGGCCTGACAAGGACAAGGTTTGAATAAACCTATTAACGAAAGACCATTTTTCTTGTTGGGACATCTATGAATCTATGTCTGCTAGCTTCAGTTTCATACTGGAAACATAAACAAGAGTAATGTTTTGAAAGGATTTTTATTCAACAATTTTTTTTGCTTTATTTTATGTTAGTTTGCATCAAAATTATATTGTCTTTTTATTTTAATTTTTCTAGTTATAAAATCTAATTAGTAAGTTTGTTTTTAAATTGGATGAAGTTTTATTGTTGTTGAGTTGTTTTGGAAAATACTCACATATTGAACAATTTTTAGTCAAAATTTATATATATATATATATTAAAATAAATACAAAATGATCTGAAATAGAGTAAAAATGTACTTATGAAGCAAAGTCAATTCAAGTGCCTCTTTGGATGACAAAATAGTTAACCGAATATCAAAAGCAACCAATGCCTTTGGGAAGCTTAAGCATCACCCATGCAATGTTCATGGGATTTCACTGAAAACGAAAATCAGTGTCTATCATTCTAACCACACTTCTTTATGGGTCAGATATAGAAACCCTGAACATGCATACATAATTTAAGGAATCATGTGTAGATGTTTATTGACAAAGAAAAAATTATCCTATGATTCATTCTGCAAAATATACATATTTTGTCAAAAATATGTTGGAAAATATGACTTAAAGAAATGAAATATATTCTTTATGAGATAATCTGCTTTAATGGTTGTTTCATAGAACATCAAAAGGCGTTCTTAAGTTTTATTTACAAATAACAAAGTGCATGAATCTAGTACCCAAAATGTTTGCATTATTTTGCATTGTGCAGCGATATAGTTAGTAGCCAAATGTATAGTTTATAATTTTAATTTTTTGCAAACCTTAATCATGATTAAAAGAAATAGTTATGAAGCAGGTTTTAAATTAGAAGTACTAAATTATGCAGAACAAGGGAATCGATCTGCAAAAGTGTATTAATAATTGTAAGTTTTGAAATAAAGGTAGAAACAAAGGTAAATATCTGACAATTCTTATACTTAAAAAGGGCCGTGAAACTCGCCAGATTATAGTGTGAGTCAACAGTAAATCATTAATTATTAAGCCATGAAGTAGGGGTGCAACCTATCCAGTGGGGTGACCTATCTGCGAGTACATACAATATATTTCTTCATATATATATATATATCTATATATCTATATCTATATATATATTGTGTGTATTTAGGCAGCATCTTTTCATTCATACACATTTCATTAAATAATATACTTCATACTTCTCCAATTCACACTTGTGTGGTCATGTGTGACATCATGAGATGCGGTGCGATTTTCACTTCTAGTGTCTTATATGCACGTGTTTATCGTTGCTTAGAAATCATCTATATAAACAATGACAGACTATCATCACTGTCTTGTCTGTATATTGTTTAATATGTTGTAATTGACATCTTTGATAATGGCTTATGTAAGCCGAAAGCTTAGATTGTATTAAAAAAAATATGGATCAATATTGTGAATTTCTTTCTTCGTTCAACGATAATGTTATTAAACTTATCAGACATTACGAAAAAAATTTACATAAAATAAATAGACAACACTTGTCTATATTATTTAATGAAATGAATATATATATATATATATATATATATATATATATATATAGGTACCTATACATATGCATATGTACATGCAGCATAAGTTTGCAATCCCATAAGTGTGTATGTGCAGTGCATGAATATAATTTTGTATATGTGTTCAGGCAGCAGCCCAGAAATCTGCAATATGCAAGAATATGATAGATAAATTTTAGGCAAATGAATGCCAAAGTGAAAAAAAAATTCTCTGTGTTGTCCTCTAGAAAGACTTTATCAGAATAAAGTAATTATTTTTTTTTATGCAATTATATGCATGTGGGATCAGAAAATATAAAAGCGGAAGCATAATTTTAACTGATACTTTGCATTTGTAATAAATAAAACAGGATTCAATGGGATAGAAGATAATGATTGATGTTGCATTTGAATTTTTATAGATTGTACTCGACAAGAAAGCAAAAAGCTGATGGAGAGTTCCATAGGCAACAAGTGTGAGAGACAAAATTATTAGAACAGAACTTAACAGAGTTAAAATTTAGTAATTTAAACAGTAAAATGGTGAGACCTAGCTGCCAATCTAGTACTACACTTAAATACACAAAGTCAAGGTACCAAAGAGGAAAATGCATTAGAATATATTTGTGGAAAAGGTGCAGGAATGTTGCCTGTGGTGGTGAGGAAGTGATTGAAACTGATCAATAATATTGCAGATCTTTCTTTGGATAAGTGTTTTTTTAAGTGCACACACACACACACACACACACACACACACACACACACACACACACACACACACTAGGAAATATATATGATGTATTTAAGCAGAAAACCATTCATTTTAAAGTACATCCAAATCAAATTTTGGATGAACTTTCAAAAAGTTTCTGTTTGTATATATATATATATATATATATATATATATATATATATATATATATATATATATTCCATTCCATCTTTTTCCAGGATGAGACCTCAGATGAAGAAATAGTTTAAAGGCATGCTATATTTATGGGATAAAGTGCTCAATATCAGAGATAGAGCATGTGTAAATATAAAAGTGAACATAGGCCACGAGTGCCTGACGATTGCATCTAGCATGAAACAGACTGTCACCTCTAAGTGTTGACTTCTATGTTCACTTTTATATCTATATATATATATATGTGTGTGTGTGTGTATGTCTATATAAGCTAACACATAATAATATCAACTATGAACATGGATACAATATCTTGACCATGTTTTGAAAAATGAAAACATTATATAAATACATACATGCCACAAACTATTTCATATTTAACAGTTAAAATATTTCATCCTTGAAAATGGCTAAATGTATAGCCAAAAGCGCACGGATAAAAAGACCATTCAGACAGTTTTTATATAATTTATCATCTTAAAAGAAAAAAATTATTAGATAGCATGAGAAATTGTATAAAAACCTAAATCAAAGCACCTTGTCTGTTGTATTCAATGAAATGTGCTATATATACATAAACATGTATGTATATAAGTATACATATATATATATACATGGATGTACATATGTATATATATATATATATATATAAATCGATTCTCCCATCGGGTTCGATGTATGAGGGTCAAGCAGATCAGTTTCCAGGAAACTGACAGCCCGACACCGGCACATG